ATTGTCCTGCTGTAGTTTGGATTTATTATGAAAGACTTCAGGGACTGAAAGCAGATAACAACATTACCACATTCCTAAACTACAGCATGATGTAACCATAGTGAGTTCAAAAAACACCTTTATCGCTTCCGCTTAATCATAGCAAAATCATGAGCTCTGTTTTCTTTGCGCATGACATTAAAGAGTACTCTCTTTTGGATAAAAATTGGCAATGTGTGAAAGAACATGCCGGTTTAATAAAATAGAAATAACAAATATAATATATTTTAAAGTAATTATTGCACACAATTCAAACAAAAATCTTTACGAATAAAGTTTTTCTGTACAGCACAGAAAAGGTGGGGTGACAAAAACGCCACCCGGAAACAAGTCTAAATGGTACATGCAAAATCGACAGAAGGAAAGGGAAGGAGGGAGGGAAGGGTGGATTTTTTGATAAATTTCACCTGACGACGGCCACCTGCTGAATGACATGAGATTTGGTTGTGCATTACCTATGAGGCTAACACCTGTGCACGTGAATCCCACTATGTGCATGTGAACAAAATGCAAACAATTGTGGCAAACAGCCTGTTTGCTCTTGCAGCGTCCGCAATTAACCTTGAACTTCATGACCTTAGCAAGCGGACTGTTTTGAGTAAATAAACTAAATAGTAACAAACTTTCCCAGTAATTTTGTATATGTTAAGAGTGTGTTCCTCCCTCTTATCGTTTCTCCCTGATTAACATATCTCCTATTTACAATTTAAGATACAAAATAACGCGCGGAAGCAATAAAATTATTATTCGCTTATACAAATAACTCCTTTGTTGTTCACTCATCGATCACAGGAAATAGTGAGCAGAGAAGAAAGCGCCAATTTTCACACTAATGGGAAATGCATTCGCATAAAACAGCATTTTTTCACCTAATGAATTAAATCCGGGCAAGTTATAACAGTAAATGATACGCATTGTAAAGATTACTGTATTATATACGTTTTTGTGTGCAAAGTGTATACTTTTGTACATTTTCCTATAGGAAAAGGAAATGTGCAAAAGGAAAAGACATATTATTTATAGCGAGCAAAGAGTTTCTTATGTTATATTTTTCCACAATGGAAAAATAGTTTTCCTAAATAACGAAGTGTTTAAGATCAGCTGTGTAGAAATGGCCAGTTGGTTAATGTCACATATCACACCTCAAAACATTTTGCATTAAAGAAAATTTGGCATACTTGTTCAAACTTCAACCATACTAATCATAATGCTAATTATATCACTTATAACTACTTATAAGTGTTTTGTTATTTTTTAAAATTAACTGATTTATGGAATTGATTGAAAGAAATCAAATATTATAAAACGAATATGTTTGTGAATAATGTTTGGAATAATAATCATAGCTGAAAGTCATATCTAATACCATATCTCCTACGACTTTCCGTCCGTCTGCGAATGTCATCCGTCCGTAATTTTTTATCCGCAGTTATTATCCGTCCGTCCGTATCCGCGTTTTACCATAACCCTCGCCTTATACATAAGTGCACTCGGAACTATACTATCACCTACATGTCCTCAGTTGCGAAATAAACGTAAGTATAAGCACAAGATTACCCAACTCTCCGTTATTCTTATGTTTATACCAATGTTTATGTCGCAAGTTAGGACCAGGAGTAAGTGCTCATAGATAAAATTCGTTTCGTGCTGTCGAGTTTATTTATGTAAAACATATAATAAGATGTTGTTATTGGCTCTGCTTAAAAGTAATAATTAAACGTAAGTTTGCTCTCTTGAACATTCGTAACGCGTAATGAATATTGCAACTATTCTGATAGTTTTTGTTTTTGCCTAAATGACCAGAATATGCCTTATTATTTATAGATATATCTAAAATGACAAATTTGTGTTCAAGTTTGCTTTTACCTGTGTATGATTAAAAATTGTAATATCTGCGTCGACGTAAGTACAAAAATTAATTAAAAGAGCATAAACCGAAAAAAAATAAAACTACTGCCTTCCCGTAGTAGGAGGTTTACTTTCAATACGTTTTGTCGTTGAACATTACCAATTAAGATTTACAAAATGTCAGTAAAAGCGAGATGACGGTGAAATGGGAGTTTGTGTAAGAATGTAACTGTAAGCAAATGAAAATCTTGGGAAAATCCTGTTACCAAATTTGATTTGACTTAGCAATGATTTTTCATAATTTAAATAGCCAAGGTTTGAGCAAAAATCTTAACACCTGCGTCGACGTAAGCACAAGAAGTAATTAGAAGAGCATAAACCGAAAAAAATAAAACTAAACCAATTCTGAAGCGAAACAAAAACTAAGAGAAATTCTTGCTGTTGATACGTGTGCTTAGGTAGACCAGACAATTTAAAGACAAAAATTTGCATGAGCAATCTCGTGCAATAATTGCTTTGTATTCTTCTTTTCTGCGCCACTGACTTAAGACAATCTTACAATCTGTAAAATCGTCATGTTCGCTGAAATCATCTTTCAAAAACTGTTTAAATGCAAGTATCTGTGTGAATGTTTTAGCTATGTAAGTGAAAACATTCAGCACTTATGTATCGCTGTAACAATGTATATTAACGTCATATGCAATCAATTGGTTAAATGTGACATTGTGTCTCAAAAAGCAGCGAAGTGTAGCAAATGACTATGTGTGAAATAACAGAATAGTTGTCTTAAAGGTCATTACTGATTTGAAATTATAAGATGCTTTCTTTTCTAAATCCATTGGTCGCACTTTGACAATTATTGCAAATCGACTAAATTAAAGAACTACTGCCTTGCCGTAGTGGGAGGTTTACTTTCAATACGTTTTGTCGTTGAACATTTCCAATTAAGATTTACAAAATGTCCGTAAAAGCGAGATGACGGTGAAATGGGAGTTTGTGTACGAATGTAATTGTAAGCAAATGAAAATCTTGGGAAAATCCTGTTACTAAATATGATTTGACTGAGCAATGATTTTTAATAATTTAAATAAGCCAAGGTTTGAGCGGAAATTGCAACAACTGCGTCGACGTAAGCACAAGAAGTAATTAGAAGAGCATAAACCGAAAAAAATAAAACTAAACCAATTCTGAAGCGAAACAAAAACTAAGAGAAATTCTTGCTGTTGATACGTGTGCTTAGGTAGACCAGACAATTTAAAGACAAAAATTTGCATGAGCAATCTCGTACAATAATTCCTTTGTATTCTTCTTTTGTGCACCACTGACTTAAGACAATCTTACAATCTGTAAAATCGTCATGTTTGCTGAAATCATCTTGCAAAAACTGCTTAAATGCAAGTGTCTGTGTGAATGTTTTAGCCATGTAAGTGAAAAAATTCAGCACTTATGTATCGCTGTAACAATGTATATTAACGTCATATGCAATCAATTGTTTAAATGTGACATTGTGTCTCAAAAGCAGCGAAGTGTACCAAATGACTATGTGTGAAATAACAGAATAGTTGTCTTAAAGGTCATTACTGATTTGAAATTATAAGATGCTTTCTTTTCTACATCCATTGGTCGCACTTTGACATTTATTGCAAATCGACTAAATTAAAGTACTGCCTTGCCGTAGTGGGAGGTTTTTTATCCATACGTTTTGTCGTTGAACATTTCAAATTAAGATTTACAAAATGTCCGTAAAAGCGAGATGACGGTGAAATGGGAGTTTGTGTACGAATGTAATTGTAAGCAAATGAAAATCTTGGGAAAATCCTGTTACTAAATATGATTTGACTGAGCAATGATTTTTAATAATTTAAATAGCCAAGGTTTGAGCAAAAATCTTAACACCTGCGTCGACGTAAGCACAAGAAGTAATTAGAAGAGCATAAACCGAAAAAAATAAAACTAAACCAATTCTGAAGCGAAACAAAAACTAAGAGAAATTCTTGCTGTTGATACGTGTTCTTGGGTAGACCAAATAATTTAACGACAAAAATTTGCATTGGCAATCTCGTACAATAATTCCTTTGTATTCTTCTTTTGTGCACCACTGACTTAAGACAATCTTACAATCTGTAAAATCGTCATGTTCGCTGAAATCATCTTGCAAAAACTGCTTAAATGCAAGTGTCTGTGTGAATGTTTTAGCCATGTAAGTGAAAAAATTCAGCACTTATGTATCGCTGTAACAATGTATATTAACGTCATATGCAATCAATTGGTTAAATGTGACCTTGTGTCTCAAAAAGCAGCGAAGTGTAGCAAATGACTATATGTAAAATACCAAAAAAGTTGTCTTAAAGGTCATTACAGATTTGAAATTATAAGATGCTTTCTTTTCTACATCCATTCGTCACACTTTGACAATTAACGTAAATCGACTAAATTAAAGAACTACTGCCTTGCCGTAGTAGGAGGTTTTATTTCAATACGTTTTGTCGTTGAACATTTCAAATTAAGATTTACAAAATGTCCGTAAAAGCGAGATGACGGAGAAATGGGAGTTTGTGTAAGAATATAATTGTAAGCGAATGTTAATCTTGGGAAAATTCTGTTACTAAATTTGATTTGACTGAGCAATGATTTTTAATAATTTAAATAGCCAAGGTTTGAGTGAAAATCCTAACATCTGCGTTGACGTAAGCACAAGAATTAATTAAAAGAGGATAAACGGGAAAAAAAAAATAAAACTAAACAAATTTTGAAGCGAAACAAAAACAAGGAGAAATTTCTTCTGTTGATACGTGTTTTTGGGTAGACCAAATAATTTATAGACAAAATTTGTATAAGCAATACCGTACAATAATTGCTTTGTATTCTTCTTTTGTGTGCCACTGACTTAAGACCATCTTACAATCTGTAAAATCGTCATGTTCACTGAAATCATCTTGTAAAAACTGTTTAAATGCAAGTGTCTGTGTGAATGTATTAGCTATGTAAGTGAAAACATTCAGCACCTATGTATCGCTATAACAATGTATATTAACGTTATATGCAATCAATTGGTTAAACGTGACCTTGTGTCTCAAAAAGCAGTGAAGTGTAGCAAATGACTACGTGTAAAATACCACAAAAGTTGTCTTAAAGGTCATTACTGATTTGACATTATCAGGCTTCAGAAGAGTTAGCGCTAAGAACTTGACAAGTTTGCTAAAAATTCAAAGGTAAGCTCGTTAATTTTTATTATAAGATGCTTTCTTTCTACATCCATCAGTTGCACTTTGACTATTAACGTAAATGAACTAAATTAAAGAACAGTATACTGCCTTGCCGTAGTAGGTTTAATTTCAATACGCTTTGTCGTAGAACATTTCAAATTAAGATTTGCAAAATTTCCGTAAAAGTGAGATGACTGTGAAGTGGGAGTTTGTGTAAGAATTTAATTGAAAGGGAATGAAAATTTTGGGAAAATCCTGTTAACAAATTTGATTTGACTGAGCAATGATTTTTAATAATTTAAATAAGCTAAAGTTTGAGCGAAAACTGTAACACCTGCATCGACGTAAGCACAAGAATTAATTAAAAGCGCATAAACCGAAAAAAAGTAAAACTAAACCAATTCTGAAGCGAAACAAAAACTAAGAGAAATTCCTTCTGTTGATACGTGTTTTTGGGTAGACCAAATAATTTAAAGACAAAAATTTGCATGAGCAATCTCGTACAATAATTACTTTGTATTCTTCTTTTGCGCGCCACTGACTTAAGACAATCTACAATCTGTAAAATCGTCATGTTCGCTGAAATAATCTTGCAAAAACTGTTTAAATGCAAGTGTCTGTGTGAATGTATTAGCTATGTAAGTGAAAACATTCAGCACTTATATATCGCTGTAACAATGTATATTAACGTCATATGCAATCAATTGGTTAAATGTGACCTTGTGTCTCAAAAAGCAGCGAAGTGTAGCAAATGACTACAATTTGACATTATCAGGCTTCGGTTAAGCTCAGGTAAGCTGGTTAATTTTAGCTATAAGATGCTTTCTTTCTACATCTATTGGTCGCACTTTGACAATTAACTTAAATTAACTAAATAAATGAAGAACATCAAGGTTTGTAAAAATTTTCCGGAAAAAACACTTCTGGTGAAAGACCAATATCATAGCTAAGTTTATATAGACGGACCAATATCATAGCTTAGTTTCGATTAGCACCACCATGCTCTTGATCTTAATTGAGATTGCTCTATAGTATGAAAAATATTAGGAAAATATAGAAAATCAAAATGAATCATAATCAAAATCAAGATTAAGTATATTTTTCTTGATATAACTGGGCTATCTTTGTCAATTAATAAGTAGGAAATATACGTTTACTTCGTAATCTGTTTGAAAGAGATAAACAGGAAATCCCATCCAAAATAAAAAAGATATAAAGACATATGCTCAAAAGAAAGACCGTATATTTTAAATTTGATGAAAGATCTGAAGTTTTACTCATCCGAAAATTGATTTATTAAACAAAGTGAATCTAAGTCTAAACTAACATCTACAATAAGCATATACAAAGAGGCAGCACTTCAAAGCACATTATATGCGCATTTGAATGTCATTGTACAAAGAGTGCCTGACGGCACTTCAATTATAGCCCAACATTCCTGTTTGGCACGAAATTATTTCAATTCTTATTGCTTCAATACTTATTCGCGTCTTTGAAGTTGTAATTTAATCCCTTGTATATAATTTTAGTTTGCTGTTGGGTTAGTGGTTTGCTTGAGTTGTTTGTGACCAATTCGTTTGTGTTGGGATGAAGTTGTTGGAAAGATCTTGATTCTTGTAATTTCCGTGGGAGTTCGTGGTATAGTTTTGTCCTATAAGTGAAGGGGCGGATTGAAACTACGTCACATTCAGCACGTGACGTAGTTAAATTCTTCACAGTAGCGGAAAAAATTAATCAAATTTTATATGCCCTTAGTTTAAAATAAAAACAATTTGCAGTGTGTGAAACGAACTTCGTTTAGTCGAAAGGACCAAGAGCATTTTTCTATACGTCTTTTGCAGGTTCGAATCTCGTCTCGGTAAGGTGTAGTAGTTTCGTTGTGTGCATAATGATCATGAATTCTTTATCCTAAAGTCAATTAAATTTTTTGTGTCCTCACAACAAAAGCATTAGAAAAATAAACTATTGTCAGGGTTAGGGATAGAATTATGAGAAATTTGTGCAACAACGTGCAGTCACTTAACAATGTTATTGTTTCCAAGACCTGGATTAAGCATGGGATTAAGGGATCAAGTGGCTAAAAATATTTATAATTCACTTGCGGGAGAAGTACACATAGCTAACCCGCACAGAGTCAGCAACGCCTAAAATTGAGCTGAATTTGGAGACTAAAATCTGTCTCTTGATTGGTTTATTGCCGTTGTGCTGACTAACGAGCCGCCGTTTTTGCTGAAATGTTCAAGCGGTGTTGTGCGAAATTCAGCACAGATTGAGAGAAGAAGCTTTTACGAGGAAAGATGAGATTTTTATGGCTCAACTCTACGGAGAGATGTTGGATTGCCTGAATGTTAAAATCGTTGTCACCAACGAAAATTTGTTGGATCGTCTCGGTGTTGATATTTTACGAAATATCAATGCCGAGTTTTACATACCGCAGAGTGGCAACACAAAGAACACAAATTTGGTAGCCTTAAGGTTAGAAAACTTATGACATGTTATGCATGCATGCTTACACAAGAATATATAAGGAAATACAAATTGACTTGATGTGATGCCCGATGGATTTGTCATTTGTGGTTTATTTATGTGATTCAAAACAAAACAAATTTTCGAATTTCGATCATATTTAAAACGTTTCTATTGATTTATTTCTTGACGTGTTCAATAGTATACTTAAGATAAGATATACGAAAATGAACTGAAGCATGATAATTGAAATTTACATAGCATTATTTCAGATCTGCTACAAATGGCAACTGCCTCTATAGTTCATTGTCGATTCTGCTTGTTGGTGACAACTCTGTGGTGACTATTTTGAGGCTGATGACCTCTATAGAATTATTTTTATGTGCTTATTATCAGTCTTTTTTGAAGCCATTGATAGTGCTGGAAATGGTTGTTCTGTTGCTGAACTGGTCAGGGCAGAAGCTGTGTTAAATGCAAAAGATATGGCATGGACTGCGTTTGTTTGCTTGTTGGCACTCTCTTCAGTTACATCCTGTAGCATTTTTTCTTATTATCCTGACATATACTCTAGTGCTTATGAGGGAATTTAATATTTAACCAAAGAATTGAACCTCGAATTCTATCTAGAGCTTTTGCTTCCACTAGTAATTATTTGCGAGTTTTGTTTTGCTTTGAAGGTTTAGCTCCTCAAGGAACTGCATTCAAACACAATCATTATGTGCCTTTGATACTTGGAGGGAAAGGGAACTAAAAGAAGGGGAAGTAGTCACTTGTCCCAAGCTAAAAAGCCCAGTGTACAAAGTTAAGGTTTACACCTTCTGTTCCTACTGAGACAACCATGACAACTAAGGCTCATCCATTTGGTATATCTCACAGGTAAATTTCCCAGGTTTTGAGAACATAAAAGTATTGTTAAAGATCTTTGGTACTATTCCAGTCACTTCTTGTGAGTGTGAGAGGTCGTTCTCTACTTTGCGAAGATTAAAGAACTATGCAAGAAGTACTATGGCCGCTGCCAGGTTAAATGGCCAGATATAGAAAAGATTATAGATCTTTTTGCAAAAGACAAAAGAATAATTGAACTAGCTTCGTAGTAAGGAGTGAAAGTTTATGATGCCTTTTTAACTCTTGACTGTAAAGATGACTGCTGCTAACTTCAGTCAATATAAACACAAACAATCGTTCTCAGGACTTTACTTACCTGGACGATCGACATGTACAAACATTTTTTTGCTTTTTTTGTTGACAACTTTATTTAATAAATTGACATAAAACCCTTTGCATAGTAATCAGCATATAGGTATGACTAGTCCATTATAAAATGAATTTCCATAAAAAAGTTGATGAAGCGTAAAGAATTTTTTTAGGCCAAGTTTGTAATGAACCAGGCCTCCATGTCGGAAGCCCTCAAAGCATATTTTTCTGCGAGTTTCCTAGGCATGCTGAAGAGCTCTGATATTGAGCGAAATTGTCAAAGATCGATAATTTATGAGCAAGAATGTTAGCTCATTCCAGTAATAAATATTTTAGAAGACCAACTGCAAAAACGAAGGAAATAGCGTTTTTCGCAATCCAATTTTAAAATTTTACCTTGGGGCGGGGACATGCTCCTGAACCCCAACTAGAAAAGTCGCGCTAACGGTGCAACATTGTGCCTAAGTTCATATGCGAAGCTAAATCCGCCCCTGTATATGTGGATGTTGCTTTATTGATATAGTATTTATATATTATTATTACTTTGATATATATTTATCAAACATTGCATTTTGCATTACCACACGTAGTTTCCGTGTGGTAATGACAGGTCTTTGATTAAATTAATTCTTTGCCAAGAAGATATTGTAAACAAGCACTTGTTCTCCTGAACATTTCAACTTGACATGTTTGGCTGGAGAAGTAAAATATATAACATTTATATAGATATGGTCGTTCAATTTTCTGACTCCCTGCTCAAAATGATGTCGATAACATTTGAAATATACATGACTTCCATATGTCCAAGGGTCGTCTATCTATCAGTATATATTCGTCGGATCCCTACCACAATGATGCACCATAGCATAAATATTTGAAATAAAAAAGGCTGTGTTTCATAATGACCTTAACGCGTGACCACGTTAAATGTAAAAATCTAAGAAGACATAAGCATAAGAACAAATAAAGACAAAAGAAATTACAAAAGAGGACAAGGAGAAGACTGACACAAGCATCAGCATAAGCATAAACATAACCACAGCCACTTGACATAAGCATAAGGTAGAACAAAACAAATTGAAAGAAAAATCCTTTTTCTTTTATTTCCTCCAACTTCTAGAGAATATGCTTTGCTTTGTTTTGCCGCTTTACCAAAAACAGAATGAGAATAGAATTTTGCAAACAAGCAGTCTTTATGTTTGTATATTTCGTCGTTTTTTAATAATGGATGCGATTTCCTGTTAATCTCTTTAAATAAGGGTTGCTTGCAGTTGCTTGTGTAAAACATGTTGATGCATTAATGCGAGAACAACTGTTGGACTTTACAGCTAATGCATTAAATAAAAACAGGAGAAAGCACGACTTTCTGGGATGTGTATTGTCCACTAGTACTTTTGATAGAAAAATATAGCACATGCTAAAGAATAAATTAAGACTTTGACATATATCACCATCTACATAATCAAATTATTCCGTTACAGTTTCAGCCATTTGCAAAATATGAAGATGCTGTGCTTCTTGCTTTTTGTTCATGTGTTGTTTTTGACAGGTCAGCAGAAATAATTCAACAACACTAATTGTATACATATTTTTTTATACGAACTAATTGTATACTTAAAAGTACGAATTTCAGCATACACAAAGCCATAGTAGACTTTATAACAATAACCTTATATTTCATGATATTTGCCTTTATATTTCATAATTACTTTTGTTTATAGGTGTTGAAAGTAGCAATCCAAACTGGTCCTTGCTATCTGGAAGACTTAAACAACTTGATTTAAGTCCGTACAACATTGTTTGGGGTGTAAGTAGTGATCATGCAATTTGGGTACGTAAAGGCAGTGCATGGACCAGAGTCGGTGGTGCATTAAAACATGTTAGTGTTGGAAACGCTGGAGTTTGGGGAGTGAATAAACATGATAATATTTACTTTCGTGAAGGAGTGACATTCAGTTCGCCAGTTGGCACAAGCTGGACTCAAATATCTGGTACGTATTAATCTTAATTTTAATTTATATATTATTTTAACGAAGACAAACGCAAAAGTTACAGTAGTATAGCTTTGGGGAACATTTACACTTGATACACGAGGAATTTCTATCAAAAAATGCCACTGGTGATCTATATAGACTATGATTTAAGGATTGGGTATTATTATAGTTGTTGTATAAAGTCTTTTTGAGAAAAAAAGAAAAACAATTCAATCAAATGTTTTCTCGAATAGAAAAGTTAATGTTACTGAATTTGATTACAAAATGTATGCACAGGCTTTATCCTTGATTTGATGTAGTATTTGCAGGTGGTGTATTATTTGCGGGTGGAAGATTATTTGCAGGCAGTTTGAAGAGGACTCTTAAGGAGGAACACTTGTGAGGACGGTGTAAAGCAGAGTTCCCCTTGCCGGATATTGAATTATATATACATTATATAGGACGATCGACAATGACTACTTGATATTGTCCAAGTACTTAATTTTAAATACATTATGTTTGTCTCTATGGACTTCAATGACGCGCTTTCATGACAAATGTAAACAGTAAACACACCATCAAAAATCTCATATTGTCTGGATATTTTGCCTGGCCAAATCTCACCTGAGTTGTTTTTAGTTCTATTGTTAATTTTCTCTTTAATATTCTACATTTTTATCAAGTGTCTTGTCTCATTTAGGCTTCTTCTTCTATAAAATTGGCACGCTACAAGGGAAATAAGTCTGCTTCTTTACAGCAACTAGAAAGCTGAGACAGTTTAACAAAACTAGTGGCAAAGCCATCACGATCTTTTACTCCATTAATATAATTTTCAACAAAACTATAATTTATTTCATTGAAAGTTCAATTCATTTATAACTGTCTTACAGTGATCCTAAACAAAAATATTTGCATTGTAGAAGACAAAAAATGAACTGGCTTCGCAACAGTCTAAAACTTACATCATGTAGTCAGTCAACAAACTTACCACCGCTATTTTCACGAAGAGTATTTGTAATTTTATATTCACTTCTATTTTTACAGCTATCTCTATTTTGGTTTTCATTAGTTCTTTGAAGAACTATTCAATTTTCATTCACTACGACAAATGCATTTTAAAAGCAATTTTCACTCGTTGTAGAGTTAAGTATTTGCATTAACTTTTATTCAGGAAGATTGATGCAAATTGATTCGGGACCTACAGGAATTGTGTATGGTGTAAATTCTGGGCATAGCATATACTGCAGAACTGGAATCACTGCATCCAATCTCAAAGGAACTGGCTGGAAACATGTGTCAGGGGCATTAAAATATGTCAGCTGTGGAAAATTTGGCTGCTGGGGTGTAAACAAGCACAATTATATCTATTTTCGAACGGGAGTAACTCCTTCTAAATGTCAAGGAGATACTTGGAAACGTATTACAGGATCGCTAAAACAAATTGAGGTCAGCATTTTTTGATAATTGTGATACTTTGGCTAGAATTTCGTAACAAATATTAAAGCAAAGCCGTTATCCTTTTGTTGTATTGTGCGAGTAAGAAAATTTTCATGGAAATGATACTGTATAAATTGATATTAAATTCATTTTTTGAAAAATTGGCTTTGCTGCAAATTAGTTTCATTTCAGGAATTTTACTAAATTTACAAGGAAGAGAAATATTGGAATTCAACCCCATAAGTGATATTTACAAAATTTGCTTACCGAAACGATGTACTCTTTTCTATCCGTTAACGTTAGACAGACCGCTTTTTATCTTGTATTCCCTTTGAAATTGATCTTCTTTAATCGAGTTGAATCTTATTTGATCAAACGTATGTATACAAAGTAATTTGTGAAACTTTATCAGCAATACTTAGTTTTTAGGAATTGGAATGTAAACTTTGAAGAACAGTATTGCAACTAACAAGCAACTGTATCAAAACATGGCGGAGCAAAATACTATAATACAGGGCTTGCTCAACCCTTTTTAAAACAAATTCAATTTTTGTTGATACGCATATGTTATCTCCAAACAAAATATAATTTGTATATATGTTGATTATGCCAATTCAACGCCATTTAAAATGAGGAGATCCTGCTCCATTAAAGAGGGGTGTTCTTCACAATCTCCATACGCTACCCCATCTTTACATACGACACCACTCGCTTGCACTAAACATGTATGACAACTTTTTATTTATAGGCCACAGCCAGTGGGGCTGTTTACGGTGTGAACAAAAATAGGAATTTATATGTTCGTGAAGGAATTAGCTCCTGTAATCCTACTGGAACACATTGGAGATCCGTTGCTGCCCCCAAGTTTGATCACGTGTCAGCTAGCTTATCTCATGTATATGGAATTGATGAAAATCACAAAATATACAAATTTAATGGTAATTAAATGTATGCATTAGTAGGTAGTTTCTTGATCATAAACATTGTAAGATTTTCTGAGGGGGGGGGCAGTTGGGACACATACTTATTTATGTATGTTTTAAACTATTGAGAAAAACGAATTTCAAAAGTCTTGCATATATGAATATGTATGACACCCTCTCCAATTATCGATCTTACAACGCTCTTGTGTTTGGTAGTTTTAGTAGCAAATTGTTTGCACATTGATGATTTGGTTATACTAGAATTCATTTTGGTTTTTTTGCCAAATTCTAAACAATATTTAAAAACGTAAATGTTTCCAAAGGATTAATTAGCAGTAAAGAATTGTGAATTGTACACATGAATTTTGACCAGACTGTAATATGCTTTTCTCGTAATATCATTTGTCCAATGGTGTTTCTTGTCGATATTTTGCATGTTCGTATATACTTTCACTGAGCTGTTTTTGCATGCACTAAACGCATAAAAAATAAAGGAATTTCCATTATTTATCAATTTATTTTATTCAGTATGGTCTCATAGACCATTGAAAAATTTTACGTTGCTTAAGACACAATGACAGGACATTACTAAAAAACAGGAAACATTTTCCGAGTTTCTATAGAGTTTTAAAACATGCAAGGAAGGAAGAAATGAATACTTTCACAAGCAACTTCAAGTTTTTTTCCATATTTCGCAAGTGTTTCTATCATTTAAGGTGGCTCGATTGGAAAAAAATCAAGAAAAATTCAATTTTTCAAAAGTATCATTTTTAGATAGTTTTACTAATAATCTTTCATATGCAATAGAGTTTTATAATACTAGGCTTTTATTTTACATGATTTTAGAGGTTTTCTAAGATGCACTATAAATTTTTTATTGGTAACCATGGAAACTACATCAAATTTTTTTCAAAATAACCATGTTATACCGTTTTGCATGGTGATTTTCATTTTGTTTCGTAAAAGTAGAGTCCTTACAAAGAGGACTGGTAAGTAGCCCACTTACATCGCCTGGTTACCAAGTCAAAATGTTCATGCATTCATGCTTGTAAAGAAAGTCAGTGAAATACTTTGTTGTAACCGCATCAAAATCTGGTCAAAATGCCTAATAATAAGAAGTTTGTTTGATCGAATGGTAAAAAACGAACGTTTCATGAGAATTGTTATGTTAATACGAAAAAGCATAAGATGTCATATACTTCTATTATATCATGGGCATTTTGTAAACAAGATGAAAAGACTAATATCTAAATTTTAATAATAAATTGTCTTTCTTTTCGTCGCTAAAATTTCCTGCCAAAACCATAAAACCTGTCAGTTTTTTGCCTAAATAAATTTCTCGTCCATTACAGAACAATGGCGTTTGATCGCAGGCTCATTGAAACAGATTGATCACGGCCTTTCTGTTGGTGTGTGGGGTGTGAACCGTCATGACAATATTTACCGCCTTAACAAAAATTATTCGTGGACTCAAATTTCTGGAAGCCTAAAACACGTTTCTGTTGGTGAAGCTGGTGTTTGGGGAGTAAATAAACATGATGATATTTATTTCTATTTGGGGGGACATTCTTGGAAACAAATCTCAGGAAAGTTGAAACAAATCGATTCTGGTCCAGAAGGAATTGTATATGGAGTGAGCAGTAACGATAAAATTTATTGTCGTTTAGGTATTTACTTATTATTTTTATAAGTGGCTGATGTTTTCAAAAGTTTCTCACTATTTTTAAATAGTATGCAGATAACATTTACGACAAAACATGATGAAGTTATTAAAAGTTATTCAAACTGTTATCTCCAATAAACAAGCGCATTTTGAGGAAAAGCACCAGCAATAATTTGTTGAAAATGCAAGTTTCTTATTTTTTAGGAATCTCAACTAATAACCTCCAAGGAACAGGATGGAAGCAAGTTCCTGGTGCATTGAAATACGTTAGTTGCGGTGCCTTGGGATGCTGGGGTGTAAGTGCAGGTGATCAAATTTGGTATCGTTCTGGTGTATCAACACAGAATTGTGCTGGAACACGTTGGACTCAAATCGGAGGAAATCTTAAGCAAATCGAGGTTTGTAATCACTACATTTCTCATGATAGGTGAAACAGCATGCTGCATGCAGAACTTTTTAATTCTTTTGTTTTAAAAGGCAATGTCTTAAGCAAACCTTACCTTACACCCATAATAAAGCAGCTTTTCTTGCTAAAGGCATTCTGTGTTATTATAAGAAACATTTTTGTCACGACAAGACATTTGGGTTTTTTTTTGTTTTCTTAATAAAAAACTTCTGTTGGGCTAAAAGTGGCAATTCTTAACGCCTTTAAATAAAGTATATGCAAGACTGTAATGAACTTTCTTTCAACAATAATGTTGGTATGTTGAGTTATTTTAATTTTATGTCATGTAATTTAGATTATTTGCTTTCAGTCTTTGACAAGAATATATGTAAAGAACGAATACATTAGGAAATTAAATAACTAACATTTCAGTCTTCAATTTACTTATAGCAAAAGTTATGTAAAGAAGGAAGCATGCAAACTTTTATTTTGAAAGAAAACGTAAAAACTGTCCTATCTTTAACGCATTGTACTGTGATTATCTTTTATTAAGACACATTCTGTTCTCTTTTTACTGCATTCTCCTTCTAACAAGGTAGTATTCAATTGGTTATAACCACTGTGGGCTTGGTAGCTCAACAGGTAGAGTGGCGGACTAGTATCCCAAAGGTGCGAACTCAAATCTCGAGTTCAAGTCACATGTTTTTCATGTGCATATTAAAACCTTGTTAGGATTAATATATTATAACCATTATGATTCATATAAAGCTAATATTTCCTATCTTTAGCGAAGTATTTTAAAAATATTCTTTTTAAGGCTGGAGATGTTGGTGATGTATATGGAGTATATAGTAACAACGTGGTCTACCGTCGAACTGGTATAACTACGGCATCTCCAATGGGCTCAGGTTGGGAAGTTGCTTTGTCGTATGCTTCATTCGTGACCACTGGCCTGAATAATAAGTATGTTTTGATAAATGGAGCAATTTTTGAATCCAAAGGTATGTGTATAATACTTGCTAAATAACGAGGCGTTTTTTCAATTAATAAGCCATCAATAACCGAGCGCGAGGTCGGAAAAATATCGGACAGAGGTCTTTTTGTACAGAGTTTGGTCTGTACAAAAAGACGGAGGTCCGATATTTCTCAGTAAGACCGAGAAAGTGAGGTTATTAGAAGGTTTATTATATGGCATTATTTAACCTGGAACGAAGCTTTCTTTCTTTCTCGTCTTGGCTGTTTTGTATGGGTTGACTTTCACTTTTCTAGTTTTTGTCAGTAAAAATTAAACGGTTTCCAATTGTATCGTTTTTCGACTTACATTTGTAAATGGTTTTCCGTTTTGCTGTTTGAAAATCACGCGTTTTGACGGTGGTCCATTACGAAAAATTATGGACCGGTTAAAATGTTTCTGTGCCAATCAACTGAGCCTAGAAAATAACGTATTTCATAGTTTGCTTTTTTTTACCTTACTTTGAAAATTTAAAACTTAACTATGTTTTTTTATAGCTTGTCGAAAGCAATTTCCTTGAAAATTCAGCAAAATTCAACAGTAACATGATGAAAGAAAAATGATTAACATTTTCCAAATCTAGCGTAGTTGTTCTATTTGTTTCTTGATAGTTTGTATGAGTGCTATGTAGCGTAAAAATAAAAAGTACTTTTTTGTTATAATAAAAACCGTATCGCAAAAAAACTTGCTCTTCTTGAACTTTTTTATTTTACAGTGAAAAACATATGACGTACAGCTCCTTCCTCATTAACCCTCCCCTCTCCTCATTATTTCTTATTGTCATAATAAGTTGAGATGTGCATTTGTTTTATATATTCTAACACTTAAAGATTTCAATCCTACTTGCCGTTATTTGCAGTGGAATGAGTGACATTAAAATGCTTATAATGCGTGCCATATAATTTTAAAATTTGAAAGGGAGCGATCAATTTATAATGAAAGAAATTTGTTGCTTTTTTCAAGATATGAGAATGCTTTGCAAAACGACTGCACATGGCGTCAGTTGATTTTGACTTAGATTGCATATGCCATCTTCGAGTCTTTGTTTTCCTATCTCCTTTGAATGAATTATGACATGCGTTTCATAATAAGCAAATATGTATTATAACTGCAGTTGGAAACGTTCCCAATAAACAACATAAATGCACAAGTAAAATGTAGTTTATGTTCAATTTTTACGTTTTATACATTAAGTATTGTTTGAAAAGCTTGACAACGGCTCTTTTAAATCTGACTGTACGAAACACGTAGAATATTGGGTTGAAACAACTATTGAGAGCTGCAAAAGTGTAAATTCTCGATCGATTTGTCATTTGTTGGCTGTTATGGGCACCTTTCAGTAATGATGCGTATGCAATGTAAGTAACAACTGGAAAGAACGTCATAAGATAAAAATACACGATGATAAACGTATTCAATGTTATCTTCAGCATAACGTGATATTTCAGTCGAGCGCACCTTGACGCTGTTTGACTTCTCCAAAACCGTTTTCCTTGCTTGTATGAAGAACAAAATATAGGCACATAGGTTAATGTTATCAAAATCATCAGTACTAAATGAATAGAAACCCAGAATATCAACCAAAGATGATATTGTTCACAAATATACGCAAATGTGTTAATTATTCCTATACCCAAAAGCACAAACCAGCACGCGATGATCAATTTCAAAACTGTCTTCTTTACAATCATAGTTTTGTATTTCAATGGTAACATTACAGCCAAATAACGATCCAAGGCAATAAGAAAAATATTTAATCCACTGTTTAATTGAACGAAAGTATTAAGACTTTCGTAATAAAAATAATAGTCATCCTGTATGCGACCCGACTGAATGGTTATTGTCAACCAAGTTTGGAAAGTTGCTAAATATATAAAATCTGCGATGGCCAGGTTTAAAATGAGAACATCATTTGGATATCTTCTAAGTTCGTAAACAAGCAAAAAAGTTGCGACAACAAGCATGTTGAAAAATCCACCGATGATGATATGAAGATAATTAAACATTAGGAGAATAAGTCTCTCTTCTTTAGCCATGATCAGTTCATATTTTTCTGAACTTTCACTATCGTAGGAGCTCATTTTTTACTTACTGATGGTTCACAAACAATTTTTTCATAAATAGTTGATATGTTTTCTTTATATGTACAAGCCAGCTACTTCGACACTGGCAATTACAAAATGCCACACTTGATAAATTTATTCAAAATTGTGAATAATTAGCGTTGTGCCCTAATTGGCAGTAATTGCTAAGTATATTGCCTACTTATGAACATATGCACTTGCTGAATGCACCTGATGTGTTTTCTATAAATCAGAGGATAACATCTCGGAAAAAGTGGGAGTTTCTACGTTATGGGACTATGTGTAGCACCTTGCTTTAAAATATTCCACACCAGACAATAGTTTTTCTGACAGAATTGTTGGTAAATATAAGCATGGTATTATAAATTACACATTTTATTCAACAAAACCCTAAGTTAGTGCAACTTATAAGTTTGTTCAAGCTCATAGATAGTTTTGAAATTATTTCTCATTTTATTGCTATATTTGCTGGCACGGTACGATTGCAATTCTCCAATTATTTAAGCTTTCTAGTGCCTCAATGAGAAACGTTATACATCATCTGAAAGCTTATAATACAGGCTTTTTTGTGACTAGTAGTAAGCAATTACATGTAAAGAATATTCCAAGAACTTTATCTTTACATTGAATGTTTTAGTTTGGAAATATTATCACTTCGGTAATTGACACCTTGTGCCATCATGGAAACGAATTTTATCCTATTTTGAACACTACAATTAAATTTTTTATTATATTAGCTTTAAATTGATGTATGATTTGTATGTAGTTTAGTAAATGTTGGCTTTTATTATAACTTTATTTTGTTATTGTTCGCTATTTCATTTTTTCTCTAAAATAAACTTGGGACTTAAAGGGTTAACAGAAAAGACAACAATTTTAGCAGGACCATTACTTTTGTTCTCTCTCAGTTTTTAGACAAACTTCACTTTATTTTTTACCATATCTGTATGAAACTCACCCCTTCCCACTCGCCTTCACTACACCTCCCACAGTCCTAGTGTGGTCCCAAGCCGAAACTTTCATGTACAGTGATGAAAACTGTTGAGTATAGGTCTAAATATATCTTTGAAGGAAAAAAAAAATAGTGGGAAAAAAATATGTCATAAAACCTGATTGACTGTTTGCAAAAGTAAGTTGCTTTCAACTGATTTAAAACTATATTTGGCTTTAACAATACCTCTATCAGAGTTAGGTAAATAACTTCTTCAGTTAGAGAAACTGGTTGTAAGAACATTTGAAATATACTTGATTGATTGAAAGTTTTAACTAAATGTGTTTCTTGGGCTTAGAAGTACAAGAAATGACGTAAATTGAAGAGCACGCTTGCTTTGTAAGTGTAAACACAGTACACTATTATCACAATTCAATTGGAAACAGCGTTCAAATTGTTCTACTTTTTAAAATGTTCATTATTTACTATACTCCTGTGTTATAAAAGCCTTGTCTTTATTTTATGTGTTCTTTAATGTACCTCACTTCCGGTGCTGAGTTATCAACATCAAGGCCATAAGGCCCACGACAAAGTATAGGAATATATAACAGGGTCACTTAGCTGTGCAGCTGGCTGCTGTATATTTAATAAGTTTACTGGCTGCCGTTCGCCATATCGTCAATCCTTTTGGTCACACAATGCAATTTACTGGCTGAAAATTTGGTAATCACAGACGTAATTAGATATGCGTGGCACGAAAAGATTCAATGGAGTGGCCCTACTGTATATTTTTTATACTGTGCCCACGAATGTTTTTAAAGTTGATTTATGTAAAATGTCATTTTCCTTTTTCTTTTTCCTTTTTCCTTTTTTCTTTTTCCTTTTGTCTTTTTTCTTTTATTTGACTTTGATAAATATTCAACAATACATTTGGTGAGGATAGACACGATATTCAAAAAGCAAAGGAGTCAAAACTGTCTTCTACATTTTATGTTTGTCGTTTTTAAGCGTTATTGAAGCTTGGGTGGAAATTAGATACAAAACAGCATGTTTCACGATAGTTTGCCACGAGTTATGTTTCTCTTTGAACGTGCACATAGTGCAAGTCATTACACATTGTATACACTTTGACAAACCATTTAAATTTTCAATTAGCAACATCATAGAAAACGCGATTTGGTCTTTCCGATTAGTCTTAACTGATAAATGTAGAAGGCGCTATAATATTTAAAATTGATCATTTATACATGTATTCTATTTTATATTTTTAATATAATATAAGTATGGCAAACTTGTAAAAACTATAGCACATTTTGAATTGTCAAAAATTTACAGTTATTCGTAAAGTCATTCATGATTAAATTGATAATGCAAATGGTAGAAAGCGTCTCTTCCGATCATTTAGCATCTTTATATCCTTATTAACGATTCCCAAACTTTTACAATTTAGCGATCAATTTTACTATTCATAGAAAACCCTATGCCAAAAAGAAGCAACTGAAAAGTGGAATTTGATTTTAACACAAAAATACCTAATAAGCCAGCATTTTCTAAAAAAATACTACATTTTATAACCTCAGCAATTGGAAACAGTTACTAAATGCTCAAGAAGGTATAATTTATATAGTAACGTCTTTTTACTGACCTAATGCTGTTATGAAGAAAAACAAAGTTCGTATAAAAAGATTGTACAGCCCGAAAAGCAAAGGGAGTAATGTACTACGTATGTCCATTAATATTGCCTCAATTTTATCATATTATTCACAAACTGACTGCATCATTACAATGATCGTAGTTGTTTGGTCATGCAGGTGCATAATTGTATTCTATCTACGTTGCTAGCCAGCTGCTTACATGCATGTATTGAAGTTATAATAGTATATTAATATTATGCTTCTTCTTTTTCTTGTGTTTCGACGTGTTTTGTTGTGACACAACGCTACTTACATATGCTACATATGTAATATCGTAAATATTCAGTGACGACTAAAATAAAATTGTTTCCATTCAATAAAGTTGAATATTTAAGGTAGACAATCATTTAATTCCTCCTTTGGCATCGACCTAACCGTACGCAGTCCTTAGGCTTGTTCGGCTGCGGTTGCAATGGTTTGTGATACTTGCAAGGGCAGGTTGACAAGTTGACAAAATACATCCATTTCTTGTAAATCATGTAGCCACTTTGACCTTCTCGATACCAGGCCCGCCAACCGTTACGAAGTCCTGGGACTAGAAAATTCAAACACAGAGAATATGTTTGCATCAAAACAATCAAAACGAATATTTTATATCATTTTTCACATGGTAACATGATTGCCTCGGTGTCTTTTGTTTTTACAGTGGTATTTACTGACTTATTTACTTTAGAAAACAGGGGTTAGGGATATTTAGTTATTACACAAGGGATGCTCAATATCAATAACAAAACTAGTGTGCCTTCATTTTATTCTCGTAGCTTGTATATAGGAGCTGCGTCAACTTGATTATTGACTTTTCTACTCCTAAATCATTCTCAAACGTGGTGAATGGAGAAGTTTAATGGCACGATGTTCCTGCAAGTGATTGAAACCGCACTGATACGAAGGCAGGTTTATCAACCCCACAGTCCTCTTGTTTGCCCATCGTCAATACTTGAAACATAAGTAAATCTTTCGCCCTCTTGCTCAAAATAGCAGAGCTCAATATTCTAAGCGTTAGTTTATTCCTGCTCAACGTATTATGGCGTTAAGTGGTAAAAGACACTCGTCTTCTCCTCGCATCGGCAACTTCTTTCTCACCAACTTATAAAAACAGGTGGATCAATCATCAACCATCAAAAATTACACTATCACATGTATTTTCAAATCAAGTCACTGAGGCAGTTCAATTACAAAATTCGCAATTTACTCCCTTGCTAACCATAAAAAAGACACGTTTTGAACACCATCAATAGTTGCTGTCAACTAGTCTTTGAACTAGTTTGATAAAAGTATTGACTAACAAAAAAGTGTAATGCATTTAGCATGCACTATGCAACCATGTTTTTACAAACCAAACACATGCTTTCGGAGATGTTAGTAATTAAATGTACTTTTAAACCTCAAGAGATTTAGTGAAAGTCCCTCAGGCTGCGCGGTTTGCGGGACATTTAATCACCAATTTTTAATATTCCTGAAGTTACACATTTAGTTATAAATGTGACATTCATGCTACCAGATCAAAAACTATTAAATAACATTGTTTTCTGATAGAGTAAACGTACATTGTTGTCAAAAATTTTAGTGAAGGCTTAGAAAAGTTGGTGCAGTGCAAAAATACATATGAAGTGAAATAAAACAATAAGTTTTAATTAATTACTGTAATCTCGTTTGCAATGTCAAAAACTATACACACTTATAGTTTATTTAAATAAAGACCTTGTTTTCCTCACTTAATAGTTAATTTTACGGGGACGAAATTTCCTTGTTAAATCAAGTTATTGTCCTCAAACTATAAATTCAGAAACTCGGAGATAAGAATGGCCTCAAAAGATTTATTAAGAAAATTAATTAATGCTTTATTTTATATTTATATTTCAAATAATAGGTAAAATTATTTGTAAAGAAAGATTTTAGATTAATTTTTACTTCGTACAGGAAATTTTAGTATTTTACCTGCACACACTTTCCTGAAAGTGTAACAAACTTGCCTAGCTTCTCTTCCAGGTTTGTAAGGCAAGTACATGACGTCACCATCATAAGAACCTGGAGGTCCTGGTTGACCAGGACTACCAACATCACCAGAATCCCCTTTTTTCCCTGTGTCTCCTGGAATTCCTTGTTCCCCTTTCTGCCCTGGATTACCAAAACCTCCTTTGTTTCCTGGTGCACCAACGGGGCATAATTTAGAGCCACATCCAATGTCATTCCCTCGGAAGTACATTTCACCGGGAGCTCCAGGTTCCCCTTCCACACCAGATGCTCCTCGCTTTCCCTTTACACCTTTTTCACCATCATCACCTTTACATTCATTACACAACGGACTTTTGTTAACAGGCAACTCACTTTCCGTTGCAGCAAGGGTAATCAATGCAGCAACAATAAATACAGACAGTGTCATTGTATAGCCTCTTGGTGACTCTAGATCGAAAATAATATACTTGAAACGAGATAGCATGTTTTACTTAAAGAAAAAAATTATGTGAATCAATGCAGAAAGGATATGCATTCATATATTGTGTTTAAGTAAGGGGACGTTTTGTTTTGCGTTTCTAATCTTTCTAAACGCTCGTTAAATGCTGTGTTGGTTTCAAAGTGTAATACACAAGAAGCCATTGTGCATAGCGCGATGGCATAGAATAACTACACATATAAATGCACTCATTATACAATTATACAAAATATAAAATGCTCAAACTTACCTTTTTTGGTATGCGGTTTCATTCTTGAGGACCTAATTTCAAATTTTCCTACAAATATGCAGTTCAGCAAAATACTATTTTGTAGGTATAAAATATTTGCGCAGTTTTAAATGTGACTACAGGGTGTCTGATATATGACACGCAAAACGTTTAGTAAATGTAATGCAAAGCCAGGAAATAAGTTTGTTATTACAGTTAATAAGTAAATTATGGTCTCAATGAAAACTCTCTTTTGTTTGCAATCGTTTGAACTTTAATGTAAATCATTGTAAAACACCAAACAATTTTGTAAGCAAACATTGCTTGTTCATATAAAGAATTGCAAGCACACATGCAAACAGGAAGACAAATCAGTCATGAAAAAATCAGTCAAGTTTTTACCAGTAAAATGTAATACAAATGGGTAGATACAAAGAAGCTCATAATTTATCAATACAATGACATTTTGATTATATGTATAAACTAGAACAAAGAACCATAACTTTTCAACTAAAAGGTGCCGACTTAGGTCACTTATATGCAGTGATTGCATTTATCATATTTTCCTAGCACTGTAGCTATATTCATACAAAGGTTTACACATTATGAGCAATGATAGTTACAATTTTTTTAGACGAGAAGTACGGATGGGTGAGATTTTTTAATTTACAACATTATACGTGTTAGGTTGAAATTGCACTTCCCAGCAAATTTGTTTGTCTTGTCATTCTTGCAAAGGGCTGTACCCTTCCCCTCGTTTCTTATACGTGTACGTACAGTTCTGATGAAGCAAAACTTTTATTAGAAGATTGACGCAAATATATGAAAGCAGCTTATGTAACAAAATAAACTTTTTCAAGATGAAATAAAATAAAACTATTTTCTAATGTCATGAACGATTATAGATAGTGTAATACTGAAGTCAATCTTTTAACAATACCATTTGTCCAGTTTTTATTGTCTCTTTCTGACTTTATACCATTCTGATAGCTACAATGAGCTACATCACTACATACGCTAATGGTGTTGTCAGCTCGACAATTGAGAGTTGGGTTTTTATTTTCATACATACATATTTAGCCGTGTTTAGTTCATTTGATATGCTCATTGCTAATAAACGTGTAACAGTAGATGCACTTGTATGTAGTCCAGTCTAGTAAACAGTATCTTGTTAAAGTGCTTTAGTAAGTAAAATATCAAGCAAGAAGCAAAAACATGGATTGGTCTTGCGAGTTTGTGAAAAGCTAGAAAGCAAATTCAATTGCTTTTCTTTTCAGTGTTTTCAATTTAAGCTCTATATTCATAGGCGCAGCCAGTCCGCAAGTTTTGGTCCTGCTATGTAAATTTTAGAACATTAGCATCATTCATTTCTTTAAAAATCAGTTGTTTTTACAGCGAGTGAACACAAAAAAATTAACATAGCAGGACCAAATTTGCGGGCTGGCTACACCACCGTTAATATTATCTGTGGGGCTATCCAAAATGTCAAATTGGCCATAAACGCATCACAATTAAAGAAAACAATAAAATGTTAGGATATACTTGTAACCATTAGCATTACAACGAGATTGATTGAAGAATTATACGGTATCTGTTCGAAATAAGTAAAAAAATTTCAACCAAAACAAAGCAATAGAAGTAAGTGAAATTGATAATAGCAAAGAGAGAGAGAGATGCTGCCCGTCGAATCGACGATGTCTGCCTGCAACTATCCATCTATTGATGGACTTTTGATTGCAGACTGCATGCACAGTGAGAAGAGCATGGTTGTGCAGGTCATGTTCTATTGGCTTGGCCACGTGGTTCCATCTTCAGTGGCACAAATGATCGTGACGACTGGGAAACTACGCGTTTGCAGGGAGAGGCCGTCGACACAGTTAATCCGTGAGCGCCTTTGCTGGCGTTTTTCCCGTTACGCCGAACACCATTTACCCATGGCTAGGGACTATTTAATCCATAGCTGGGCAAACCTTGTCAGACAGCAGGGCGTGTCCACACGTCGGTGGGCCTGGCCTGTCGTGACTGCGAGGGTTTGTCCTCCGGAGATTTCTGTATAAGTTAACATTATTTTATGTTGCATAAACTTTACTTTTTTCAATTTCAGAGCCAATCCTACTTCAATTTTTTTTCTTGTTCAGTATTGTGCAATTTAATTTTTGAACATTGTATTGAACCGAAAGCTAACAAATTTAGAGTAAGTTTTAATGCACGAAATCCAGCGTGATAACTCTACTTTAATTTACATACAACAAGAGTTTATTTTAATGATAACCTAAAATGGATGAAGAATAAATTTGCGTCTGAACAATGGTCGAGCCAGTATGCAGGCTCAAATGTTGTTATACTAATATCACACAATTATCATTTCTCATTTCGCTAAAAGTTTGTTGTATTTGCAGTAAGTGAGCTCAGTAATATCTACTTGGACAAATTCTACGGGCTGGCTGCGTTCATTCAGCGTTTCCTTCCAAAAATCAGATAAAATGAGTAATAGATGCACGATTATATTGATTCTTATCAAAAGCTTGATGGAAGATAATTAATTTTTTTCCAATGTGATGCTTATAGTGCAATAACACAAAATTTCTCACCGCTATCAACATTTTATGTAGAATTAGTTTTCATAATACCTTCCAACGCTTATGTGTGGTCACTTCTTTTCACCTAATTTTAATTATGGCAAACTTAGCCATACCCAAGTGAAAGGCAAGACATCATCATTTTATAATCTTATTTTGGAGTCACGTCAATTCAGATTAGCTTGAGCTGTTGGTGCTGCATGATATTTGATCGTTACATTCACGTTCGGAATTGTGTGAAATACACCGGGACTAAATGAATAACTTATACTCGTAATGTGGGTAGGAGCACCGAGCAATAATTGACATCGGTTGATCATTTTAGTGCTTTAGGCTAGTCTTTTTTTGTCCACAAAAATCACTTCCACGAGACATTTTATATGCTTGGTAGAATATTTTTGTATTTCTGCTTTTCTTTATTATTCCAAAAATAAAAGGCGAGTTTTATTTCTTCGTGGGAATTGCAGAATTCCTAGCAATTGGTGTCTGTGTATGTATAACGAATAGCATAATTTATGATTGGGTCAGTTTAAAGGGTTTTGAAAGATGTTTTATAATGAAATTGAGAAAGTTTATGCAAGAAATATCATGTTTTTTGCTGTTATCAAACCACGAAAATGACTGAGCAGTTGACGGGGCGTTGATAAATTAAACTGATACATCATTACATATTATACATAGCAAAACACAGAATTAATGGTATGTAATCAAAATGCATGTAGGTAAAATAAAATAAATAAAAATTGAATTTGTCTTTTGCAAATATACGATAAATTTTGATATTTAAAGTATTTTGGTGATAAAAGTATTAATTATAGTTGTGAATGTTATAAATGTTATAATTGATATAAAATATATGAAATAAAGGGAAGTTTGCATTGTTAGCTAATATATTGTACAGTTACAAAAGAAAGAAGAACGGTCTAGCTTTATTTTTTTTTGTAAAAATTTCTCCACTCTTTATCTCAACTTTAACTACGATGCCATTAAAGTACCATATATACTTGAACAGAGAAAGTAGCTCAAAAATCCTTATTAAAGAGTCACTTCGCAATAAGGTTTTCGATACTAGTGAAGTGTGTAATTTTTTGCATCCAGACAAGAAAGTTGTTAACTTCACATAGCTCAAACATAACCATTATGTAACTATTCTAAAGTTGTTCTATTTAAGAAATGAAAAATGTTTATTTCATGTGTTTGCACAGGCTTATATGCAAACTGAGGAGACCTTTGGGAGAACTCGAGAGCTGATCACTGCAAGCCGAAGACCAAAGGTCGAAGGTTGTACTTGCTCGAGGGTTCTCACAAACGGCTCCGAAGTTTGCATAAGCCGGTGCAAACGCACAATACATGTTTTATGTCTTTTATAACATAAAAATAACGCAAAACTGACAAATTTAGAACAATCATTTCAATTTTTCCTCTGTAATGTCTTCATGATTGATTTGCCAATTCTCTTTGACCGATTGATCGTGTTGATTGATTTGATTGGTTGAGCTCATATCTGCTTTCACAGGCTAATGCAAACACAGCTATAAACCAATCACCGCGCGCGCTTTAATGTATTTATTTTATAAAATTTCTTTCATAATGTAATATGTCGGGATATCGTGTACGTTGACAAGAAACTCGATTCATTATAGACTGGTGAAACTACTAGCATCTTTTTTGTAATATTTTAGATGAAATCTTTTTCTCGTCTGTATTTAACATAACATTTCCATTGTTTTTAATATGTAAATGAATTCTTGACAAATGCTTAGCTTTTGACCATCTGCGATTACATGATAACAGGTTTTTATGAAATATGGTTATGAGACTGAGACACCTTGATGTGTTGGCATATTCTGGAAAGAAGTTTATTAACACGAGTCACATTACAATATTCTCGTTCTGGAATATTTCTCACTTCTATCTTATTTTAGCCTATTGCAACTGAAATTGTTATTATTTAAACTAACATTCTAAAAATATATAGTGTCATCACAGTTAAATGCTTAATGTAGCCTTTGATATGGTCTATTAACGTATGGAATGTTTGATTGTACCAGCAACTTCAATTTGAGGTCCATTTAAGGGTTTTCGTAAATCTGAAATGAGCCACCCCCTACAGCCTGTCAATCATTCCACTGCTTCCAAACATTGCAGCAGAAAACTGCTGGAATTTTTTCGGCTCAAATTTGGTTTGCACGATGAGTGAATAGGCATAACAAAAATTACTAGTAAAATTACTAAATTGATTTGAAAGAATATTTTAGTGATTGACATACTATATCTGCCCAGCCATTTCGACTTTGATGACACCCTAAACGTGATGCTTAGTAAACTTAGTCCATATTGTAAAACAATTTAAGGTTTTCACCTCATCGATATTCAAACAGTTGGACGTAACTGATTACGTAATGAATAAAATGGAAGTCTTGGAAATCTTCATGTTGTTAAAGGACATATATATAATGTATATACAGTCATGAGGATTATTCCTACGAGTCCATGAACACAAGTTTAATTGTAAAAAATGGCTGCCTTTATTTTTGCAGGAGTTAGCTTGGGGCATGAAAAACCAACTTTATGTATCTCAGAGGATGACAGTAATCACATGTTATAACTACTTATTGTAGTTTCCCTAGCAACATATTTTCCCTTATCGATGGTAAATAGTGATGTGTAATATACGGTGAATTGCGCGTTATATCGTTGAAGTGAAGCGTTTGTGTCCCCGCGCATATGATTTTGTTACAGATATTATATTTTGAATATTGCATTTATGGGGTCTGTCACGATCTTTTGTAAAGATTTCAAATTTATGATACAATGGGTGAGATTTCTTCTAGTTTCATTCCAGTCACAAACCAAGTAATTGAGTGCTATAGTTCTCCGACTTGGAAATGATATATTTTTAAAGACTAATCCATTGAAAAACTGCTTGTGGTATTATTTCGAGAGTATATGCAGTGCATATTTCCTTTTAACGGCATTATCTATCTAGATTGCTTGTTCTACTTTAACATACCTTACGTCTAATTTTGCATTTTTTTTGCTCAAACTAGGATCATATTTGAACAAAAAGTTGTAAACCTGTTCAAGCCATCATTATATAGCTAGTTAAGAAACATATAAGTAAAAATTAAAAAAATTTACAGAAAATCTTGCTTTTAGTCTTGTGGTTTCTTTCCGATACACGATGATACATGACTACAGCTGTTTAGCCAACATGCTGATCAGAACTTTGCACTGACTCAGAGACACCACAATCATATGACAGCTTGCATAGGTAACTTGTACTTAAATTACCCCGATAATCAAATTTAAACTTTTAATGATTTACATTTTACATTTCAGTCCATAGACACTTTTGTACTTTGGTATTCCTTAATGTCGTTAAAAATTGAACAATGATGGTAAAAACTAACAGATGCTGGAAAAATGAAAAGTATATTCCAACGGGGAATTGAGTTTGTTAGCAATGATGATCATTGTTGAGCACACATTGTCGCAGTAGCAACTCCACTGTCCATTTATGGTGCCAATTATTTCTTTCAACTATTTTTGCACACTTATAAAGCAAAAATTTCATCATTAATTCCGTTAATACAGCTGTAAGCAATACGATAAACGCTAATTATAATATGAAGATCATGCTCAACAAGAAAATATATACAGCGATTCTGTTCATCCTAAAGCTTGAGTACTAAGCACTGAGCAATGCTTTCCATCAATTTAGAGACACATACGTAATGCACTCGGTGATCGATCTTAACGAGACAATTTTATGTTATTGTCAAGACAAACTGAAAAGGTTGACAATTAAGATCAAGATTGAGGTCAAAAGGGGCGTGAAAATTGACTGACCAAAACATTGCGATGACGTTTGCATGTTGAAGTCCGATGCCAGTTTGAAGCTTTGAAGCCGTTCCTGATGTTATCTATTTAAATTTTTTATCTCTAAAAGATCACGTGTGAAAGCGTCTATATCATCAGCACTCATGAAAAAATAGAAGTTTCAGATAGGAGGTGACGAATGGAATTTATTGATGCATTTGTCAACTATTGAAATGAAATGAGTATGAATGGAATTAATGCGTTTCTGACTGCATGCACAGGATATCTGTGCAACGTATTTCAATGATAAGAATAAAGTTATTTCTCACCGGTAAAATGAAAAATTCATCATGTATATACGGATTTTGTGTAGCTGTAAAAGTGATACGCACGATTTGAGTACTAACCTTTAGCATTCACAAATATTCACAAATACTGCAGTGGATAAATTATAAACTTACATCTTAAAGGACTTGCCTGACTTAATATACAAATCTAAAGGAAGAAAACTGATGATCTATATCGCTAAATAAACTTCTTCTTTATTCAAAAATGATAAGCAAAGTGTATAAGGAAACAGAGCAAGTAGAAAGGTTCCTTCCAGAACATGGGTCTTTTCACATATTTGTCAACAGATTGTTATTTGTGATGCTCGGCGCATTTCACCATAATTGATTTGCTTTGGACAAATAGCTATTTAAGCGTTTTGCTTTAGGTTTTCATTTCTTAGATGCCTGGGAAACTTTTACCAAACTCTTCGTGTCATGATTTTTTTCTTTGATCACATTTTATCTTTGCCAAATGACACATGAAGCGCCAGTATGTGTCGACAAAACTATAGCATTCCAACAAGTTTTTGAAAAAATATTGAATCGAAACACAAGAAGCAAGTGCTGATCTTACGTTCACTGAAAATATTGCATATATATATATATGGCATCATTTCAAAATCAACGTACCACGATTAACCTTTATTTTATTCACGCAGATGATTTCTTTAAATGCAACTGCTTTATTTTTCTCATATAGCTAACATTTGATTTTAACCTAAAGCATATTATCAGCATGGAGAACTCCGTGTGTTGATTCTACAAAAAAGTAGTGCAGCCTAATAATATAAAAACAAAAAGAAATATAAAACAACTTCAACTAATAACAAAGTATCAGAATAAATAAACCTATATACATCCAGAATTTAATCTCAACTATATAAATTTCTTTATATCCGGAGTTTTGTTGAAATTTTCAATTTAAATCTAACGGGGTTTTCGTGTCTTCCACAAACAGTTCACTACAACAAACTGGAGGTCAAGTTTAGTGAATTCTCGCTTTTGTTCATCGCCGTGTCGACTTCGAACTCAAATGTTATGTTTGCGAACATATATGTTGTTCTTATCTTGCATGCTTTGTTTCTTTTCCTAGTTTAATCTCATGTAGTTTCTTTTTTTATCAGTGTTTACTTAGCCAATATTTGAAAGAACCTATTGAGAAACAAATGAACAATTATTCTTATATATTCACGCTAAATATAATCTTTTGCACGCATAATTAAAACGAGACAAAAACACCATTAAGTAAAAATACCAAAACACCTCTTATCATTTAGAAACATTGTTCCCCATACGTGTGAATTCCCACAGTTCTTCGATAGTTATTAAGAGGGAAATATTTTCTTATGACATATTAAAGTCAATAAATTCGTGTCAAATTAATCAACGAGTCTAACTTACTTATATATTTATTTAGAAAAAAAAAGGATGTTGGACTATGGTAGGTTTAGCAAGATAGGTCAAGCTATTTATAACAACAATATTGCCACTCGTATGTCAGAAAATTTCCTTAAGAGCAACAATGCTGTCATCAATCAAATAAGCCTGTTGGCACGGGTGGTCAAAGAACAGATTTTAACACAAGTTTATTTTTGACTCGCACTTTACATGCACGTATTCAAAGCACATATTGCTTTTATTGCGTTTTGCCAAAAGGCTTTCAAATTGTCAAATTACTTTATTAGACTGGAGCACAGACGTGAAAGCGTTCAAGACAGAACATTAAGGAAGACGTGGATTAGTTTACAATAGTCTAAAGCATTCATGTATGTTCTAATAATAGTCACCGGTCATGAAAGGTTATTGGTTTAACTTGAGGCCAAATTCCATTGGTATTTGTCAGGAAACCTGATACGGGTTTAATGTATCAGGTTTCATTGGTGGCTAAAAGGTATTAAACATGGGATTGGTTAATCCTTTCGATGACTCTATTTTCCGTCTAAACACTTTTGAAGTTGTATTTGATAGCGTGCGTAGCGTGTGTTTGTATTCCATGCGACTACAACATGGCTGAGCTGCGTCAACTTATTATCATCTGTTGGATTGTTTTGGTGAGGAATCAATGTCATAACTTCACGCGGAATTATTCACAGGAATCCTTATGCCCGTGTGATGAGATTTGTCATCATAATGGCTTGGAGCTCAATTGCGATGGCAAGAACCTGTCTGTAATTCCAAACTGCACTTGGGAGAAAGCTCGTAAAATGTAAGTGTACAACAAAGTTAATGATAAATTAGAATGGGTATAAGTGCATGACTTCGGATTTATCTTTGATACATCTGTTTCAATTCATGATTATGAAGGATTGTTTTGCCTCTCAAAGAATGGTCAGCTGTCAGCTATTTTTCAATTAGTGTTTGACAATGTAAAATAATGTCAAACGAATGCGAAGATTTTCAATGTCACAGTTACGGGAAAAAGATATTTAGATTCAAACTAATGTAAAAGAGCTTGTCAGTACTTTTAAATACAGAGTAAACCAAACTCAAAAGTTTTTGGAAAACATTAACTGCGTAAGAGCATATGATAAATTTATGTTTGAAACTGCAGTATTGATAGATTTCAACCTTATGATCTGTTAGAACGCAAGATTTAATTTCTATCAACGGATACTAAAGGAATTCGACCGCTTGCTTGGTACTAAATATATACTTACATACATTAAATGCAACAGTGTCGCTAGGTTTGTTACATACCTTGTTGCATTTTTGCTCGTGGATTAATACATTTGTATCATTTTGTGTATATTTCACATAAATCCACACTATAAATTACAGTCAAAAAATGCCTTTGCTACACTTAGCATTATAGATTTGTCACTCAATTTTTCGACGGAACTTTTAAGACTTAGTGCGTGGTGTAGTTTTACATACTCGTCGATTACCATATATATATGATTTTAAGCTATCAAAAAAAGTGCACTAAAGACATGGCGTCGGCTGTTCATTTAATATTTCAATAAACCAGCATGCATGTGTTGTCAACAGGAAACGCTATATATGCGAATCATTATTTTGCGCACAATGATTATTTCGTGCCATTTGTCATTCATAAAGCATAAAATGACATATATAAAAAACATATTTCTAGTGTCAAAGTTGTTTGATTGAGTCGATATTTTTTGCAAATAACTTAAATGAGGCACAGTTTCATTTCACGCTATAGAACATTTGCATAAATTGCGCTATGTGACTTTCAACTATTAAAATGATCAAAAGTCGGTTCGTGTTCACACTTTCAATGTTCAAAGAAAGTTTTTCTAAGTGTTTCCCCTCAGGCTGGCTTAGGTTTGTACATTTTTATTTCGAAACACCTATAACATAAATGCAATAAAATTATATTGCCAATTTTGTCCAACTGTGCTTAATTGAAGCTTCTAACATATGTCAAAATGATGTTTTGTCAACATTGTTGACGAAAACAAAACGACATTGATCATTACATTTTATGTCGAAACACCCATAACATAAATGCAATAGAATTACATTGCCAATTTTGTCCAATTGTGCTAAATTAAAGCTTGTAACTTATGTCAAAATGATGTTTTGTCGACGTATCTGGATTCGTTTCAATAGTGTTAACAAGAATTTTTGAAATGCACATTGTAAATCTATTTTATGAAATTATTTCAGAGTCCTGAGTCAAAACAAAATCAAAAAAATATCAAGAAAAATATTTGAAAGATTCACAAACGCAGAGCGTATGTAAGTATTGCATCTGAAGTATGAGATTAGTTACATAAAAATTGAAGTATATTTAGTACATAGGCAAGACGCTACAAAGCCATTACTTGAATCGCAATGAACTTGAAAAAATGCACAATATAAGATGGAATTGAAGCGTGATGACAGTAACTCTTTTTTCATTTTTCATAAATTGCTTAGCTTATACATTCTAAGGGCCTGTAATGACTGTGGTAAGAATGAGTAAAAAATTTAAAGACTTGCTTATCAAGGGCAAGTTTACACCATTTGGAAAATTTATGCAGAGGTTTTAAATTTGCTATTTGGCCACAAAAAAGTTGCAGAATAAATGTCCGTGTTGATAATATTCAAAATGTTGATATGAAACGGCAATTTACGACAAACGTCCTATTGAATGCAATAAAACATGGTTCTTAAGAAATTTATCATCATAAGAGCGAATTATGTCAATAAACTTATTTTTTGTAAATTTACTAAAGCTGTGAAGGGAGCAATGGTCATATGTTGGCTTCTATCAACCATTGCTTGTGTGTTCAACATTTTGATTTTCTTCTATGTCTTCTACGTTTCGCATAATATGAACATCCGAGACAACACTACAAGCAAAGAATATTAATAAGAAATCTTTCATTCTATAAGAATATATTCTTCAGTTAACTTGATAGACTTGATATTTCTTGTTACTTTACATTTGACAATATTTTGTAGTAACTCACTCTTTAGTTAACGATAAACATTTAATGTTTCTTAAGACGTACTTTACACGTGATAAAGTTTTTAGGAATTTACTCTTCAGTTGAATTGAAACATGTAATATTTTGTGATTAGATTCTAAACGAAATTATTCTTTAGTTAACTCGAGACATTTAGTAGCTCTTGATACTTAACATGTGATAAAATTATAAAGGAACTTGCCCTTCAATTCATTTAAAACTTGAAACATTTAATAATATGTGGAACTGACTTTTCATATATTAAATTTACTTTTCACATGTGAAAATTTAATTTCATATGTGAAATGTTTTCTTTCATATTTGAAAATGTCTATTTCATTTATGAAAGTCCTATTTCATATAGCTATGAAATTAAATGTGAAATTTTGTAAGGGTTGCATGCGATGAAATTTTTCTAGCACTAAAGTTTCATATGCAATTTATCGATTATTGTTCTTCTATTCTTTTCGCATGCAGTTTGAACTTAAAAACTTCTTATCATATAGAAATTTTAAGTTTTAAAATATCACAACATTTGTCATTGTCAATCAAAGATATCTTTAGAGTCCGTTGAAAAACTAAAGAAGTAAAATTGACAAGTGAAAGGAAAGAAAAAGGTTCATCTTATGCAACCATTTTATTTCTTGATTTCCATCATATATATTTACATTTTGTATACTGTCACAACTTAGGAAAAGCATGTCAGCTGCACGTATTTTGTATTGATGGCACAACCAATGACATAAAAATCACTACCTTTATCTGTGTTGACGTAAAAATAATTGATCAATTGAGCTATATTATATGTGTACGAGGGTCGATAAAGCAAGCCTAGAAGAAAAACACAATGCGTACAGTCTACAGAAAAATGCAAGTTTAAATAACAGTAATATTTTTTGATATATTAAACATATCTAAAGCTCAGCTCAATGATTTAGTCAAACACACATTTCCTGATGGGTGAAATTTCATACAACACTTAACTATTCTTAGCATCGTAATTAATTCACACAAGCTAAAGTAACAGGATACCTTCTCATAATATGCGGTATGAAATTGGTATGCCCTCAGCAAAATAACATGTTTGAAGATGAAAGACTTTTATAGCCCACATCGCCATACATATAATGAATGTATTTGTTCGCTAAAAATACAATTTCCATTATGTCAGTAACATTAGACGCAAGCGGGTATAAAGAAGTCAATGTTTTCGTACAAGTTGAAGTAAGATAATCCGACATGAAATAATGACAATACTTTGTCACCACTCTTGCTTCATATCTGTTTTCTAATCTTCACAAATTAGACTGAGAAGGAACTTAGATTTGACTTTACTCCGATCATAATCTTTACACGTTCCCAAGACGTGTTGATGGGATTAATCTGTATCATTTACTAATGAAGCGTTTTTTCACCTAACAATTTACACTGTTGCTTGTGAAATCTAAATACTTAAGGTTTCACTATCTACTTATCAATCTATAAATGAACAGATGAAAAAAAGTAATTTAAAATGAATTTACTGCACATTATTTGGAGTGAACCATCATGAGTTATCAATGCCAATAAATCACCCTTGTACACCCTTTGTTATGCCAGAGATTATAGACGATACAATAAATTTTACCATTCAACAAACAACTAATTATGACAGTGTATTAATTTAGCAAATATTCTCTGGATGGTAAAGATTTGATGGTTATTAAAGAAGGATTAAACGTAATATTAATTAGAAATGTAAGCTTCATGTATTAACACACACAAAGACAATGGCTTGTTCACATTGTCGTTCAGATAACTTATTGCACAGGACATATGTTGTATAGGTGACAGCTGTGGATTTATTTTTTTTGCTGATTTTTGTTTCACCTATAGTTTCATGAAAATATATGTTTAAATTTATTAGATGTATAAAAAAATGTTTGAGATATTGTCAGTAATAAGAATGAAAATATATTCAATCATGCTAACAATCAGTATGTATACAACTTTTTGATACTTAACATATAGGTTTAAATGTCCCAAATATGAAATACACCTCCCCAGTTTCTGCCTGGTTGTTTTTCTGATGTTGACAACACTGTTTAAAGTATGCACAACTTATACCTAACATACAGTTTTAAAAGATACTCTAATAACCTATTGAAGTTACGTTTTGCCCTAAGATTACCAAATAGCAGCTCAAAATGCTCGACTCAACAACAAAATAAAATGACGCATTTGTACATTAATGTTTCCGTTATAGATTTGTACTGATTTTAATTTTGTACATCCTTCATAGCCATTATCCATCTCTTTTTCAAATAATGTATTTATATGGTCAAGAGCTGTTGTCATCTAGAACGATCAGTCGATCCCAGAAGTTGTAGAACGAAATATTGTTTCTATAAAACCAGTTGTTTAGAGTCATAGAGCCTGCCTGGTTTAGCATTGACGTTCATGAATTGAACTATTTCCAATCTTTTTCTGAAAAAAACAACAATATTTTATAAGGTCAATAATGTATGGCATTCAATTTCATATATGCTGTTGAAAACTTGTCTTAATAATTCAAATTACTGTTCGTTTATATAAGGGAACAACTATAATAATTGAATGATTGATTGAATTGAGAGCTAATGAAATGTGCATCCGTTTCTACGTCAGTTGTTATAAGTTCTGAATAATAAAAAAGATTGCGTGCTTGAATTTTGAGTACATTGACGTCTTAGGATTTAGATACAAGATCCATGAGATTTCATTTCACATTTTCGAATTCTTTTTGAAAGAAGTCGTTGCCCCCGGATATTATATTTTAAGCTTGTTAAAGTCTCAATAATAGAATGTTTTTCGGCTATATACGTGTTAGGCACTATAGGCTAGCACGTTATTATGACGACATTTAAACTCATTACATTTGTAATAGTATCTAAATCAACTACCAAAAACTATTTTAAATTAACTGGTTGATTCATTTCCATGTATACTGAAGATTGAAGATTCGAGCTGGCAAAAGATTTATCATTTTCCTGCACATGCAATGCTTGAATATTCTTTGTCATAGTCATTTCATTGACGAGCAATTTTTCATAGTCAAATTTCGTATCTACTTACTCAAGAAACTTGAATTAATAATTCCCTACGTTTATTTCCCGTTACGAGCAAAGGTTTAGAAATATGTTAAAGATATTTTTTGATAGCGTGAATATACCTGTTCAGGTGGATAACAGATGGATTTGAAATTACTCGTTGCCGCATTTCTGTAATATTGAGCAATTTGTAAAATTTTAAGCATATAACATTTATTTGCAAATTTACCAATCAATTCCTTCCAAGGCATTGCACGTCATAGTCCAAATTGTTTAAACACTTTTTACCATAACGTATAAGAATGACTGTGTAACTGTTAACTTTGAGGCTAAAATGTGTCTGGTTCAAGCCTATATATTTTAATGTATCTGTTGAGCGTATACACTCGACGAAAGAAGTGTGAATGTGTTTTTTTTAAAATTTACCATTTCATTATATGCATGCAACGGCATTATTATTTTAACTAAGCAGAGTAGCAAAAACGCATGAACGTTTCAAATCCAATGAAGAAGCATAACTGGAATAGTCAATGTCGAGTATTTGAATGCCCATTTTGGAAAAATATGAAAAAGTTTATAACGCAAAGAATCTTATTTTTTATAATTACGAAAGCCAAAATAACGAGGGAAAAGTTTTCTGCATCCCAAAATTTTAGCTCTCTATCACGTGTAGAAATATTTTTTTATTCTATTATGTATGATTAGTCTAATAGCTACATTTTTACCCTTGACCTGAATTCATCCAATCAAAATATCGTTGAAAATAAACAATTTAGGCAGCATCATTGTTATTGCATTGTCTTCATCGGTATCATATTTTGAAGTTTGTTAACAAAAGACAAACAACAGAGTTTTCTTTACAGGCTGCGCTTATTATCCTTTGCAGTTTTATTTTGTTTTATTTTCTTAGTTTGCAAAATTCTCGTCACATGAAAGATAAGAACATTGTACTCGTATTTTATTACAAGGGCATGTTACGAAATGACTTCTTAATGAATATTTAGCTAAGTTAGACGGATTTTGTTTGTTTATCTTTCGGTAGTCTTAATTTAAATTTACAAGCATTAACATTTTATGCTCACTGTAATGGAGGCGCTGTTTCTAAGCTACTTAGAAAAAGAATGCTATGACAATAAATGTTAATAACGTTTGAAAATATTCACTGTGCCTATTGTTCATGTCAGTATTTGTTTAAATTATGGGTGAATATTGGCATGAT